CCTCTCTAACCACCTGAGAAGTCAGAGTCCCTTCCCGTGCATATCCGGCACCAGTGACCTCTTCAACTACTCTTCCCCTTTGTACAGGCATTGTCTTACGCCCATTGTGATATTTTGTTACTACCCAAACCCAATCCCACCCTCCATTTTTTTTCTTCGTTTTATCCCTACTCCCTCCTTTAGAACCTTTCTTCGTTTTATCCCTACTACTACTACTTTTTCTTTTATTCTTTTCCTATAACAAAAATAAGGGTTCAGCCCCTATATTTTTTTAATTTTCTTTTCCTTCTTTTTTTCTTCTCATGAATATGTTGATTTTCTATACTTTAACATGAACTTTGTACTTTTCTTACGAATAATTATTAAGGAAATATGGCTATGGTACCTAGGGAACTACCCTAGAATCTATGTTTTCTCTATATAAAAAAATCCATCGCCTAGGCGACAAGGCGCCCCCCTGACGCCCAGCCTTGCCTTGGCACCTTGAAAATTATGGTTTTGTGCAACTTGTAGCTCTCCCCTGCAAATCACAGATCCACAACATTTGGGACCTTCGAGATCTCGTCTACCTCCACTAGCAATTGTGCTCTATCTAATATGTCCCAATACCTATTCTTGTCGTCAAACTTCAAGAATCTCCCACTAGTACCTCCTATTGCTTCGAAAGTTAAGATGCTCCAGGCATGTAAAGGGATTCTAACTACATTAATCCACACTACTCTTCCTCTTCTGCGTGGAAACAAAGAACCTACCGTTAGGAACCACCAATCAAGTCGAAGGTCAAAGTTCCTTTGCTTTGTGTCTCCAACTCCAAAACTTGTTTTGCTACCTCTTTGCTATGAAACATAAATAGGAACAAACCTCCATTTAGTTTTCTTACGCTTAAAACTTTCTCCTTTCCCCACTCTACCATTGCCCAAACCTCCACCTTCTTTGTCTCCAAATCAAACCCAACAAGCCTCCCAATTAGACTCGCACCCAACACCTTCATTCGCTCATCCATCTTCCCACCTTCCGCACATCTACCTAGTGATTTAAAAGGCGCGCCTAGGTGCTCAGGCGAGGCGCATTTTAGGGCAGGCACCTCACCCAGGTCCTAGGTGCAGCCTATTCAAAAGGCGCACACCTGGTGAGCCTAGGCATGCGCCTGGTACGCCTAGGCATGCGCTTGGTACGCCTAGGCGTGTGCCTTGCGCCTTAGCCCAGGCGTGCACCTTTTGAAAATTTGCCGCTTTTTCCCTTTTTTTGAGTCTGGCCACTAGGTCGGGGGCTCCACCCCCGAACCCCCGTGCCACACCCCTCAAGGCCAGCCTAAACATGAACCACCTATTTGGTAATGTTGCCCATTCATTCATCTTAATAAAACATCTTCTTAAAAGCAATTTAAACTATAAAATTATTATTTTTTGTGTGAAATCTAAGAATTTAAGACCTTAACATGGACTTGTTTGGGCTAGCCTCAAGGGGCGTGGCACAAAGGTGGCTCGTAGAATTGAGAAAAAAAAAAGAGATTATGGGTTTTATATGTTTGATTTCATTTTTAAATTCTCATTTTAATATATTTATGTAATTTAATTTTAGATAATAGGTTTTTTCAAACATTTATTTTAAAACTTAGGTTAATATTTTTATTAATATTATGTTTTATAACTTTTTTATTTTTTGAATTTTTTGCTTTTTTTATTTTTTTGCATTTTTTTTAAATTGTGCGCCTTGCCTCAAAAAGGCACGCACCTCGCCTTGTGCCTCAAGCGCAAAATGGCCCTTGCGCCTTGCGCTTTTAAAACACTGCATCTACCTCTATCTCCATCTTCCTCAATGTAGTAGAGGGAGGGTCACCTGATAACTTCCAATTTTTTATCTCATTTCCGGAAAAACCCTGTACAACTAGAGGCTGTAACAGGGAAAGCCATGTTGTTTTCACAGGCTGTAACACAACTTTCATCTTTTGTTCAAACCATGTAAATGCCACCCTCTCAAAAAGCTCTCCACTTACACCAGACAGAAACCCTTGTGAGCAAACAAACTGTATACTTTTACCCAAATGCTACATGAGAATTTACAATGTAACAACAGGCAATCAACAGTCTTCTCCATCCTATTTTACATAGGACACAAAGTGAAGAGCCAACTCCTACACCTCTTTTCACTAGATTAGTCTCATAGGAAACTCCCGATCTTCTTCCCTAGTCAGCTTGTTATAAAAGGATTTGACAGAGAACTGCTCATCCTTCCCACCCATCCACACTCTTTTGTCATCTCTGTTAGGCTGCCTATAGGCTGAAAATTAGTACGGTGTCTATAGGCTCACCATCACTACCTACTTATATCATGTCTATAGGTTGAAAATTACTGCAAAGCCATTTTTTCTATTTTTTGAGAGGTCTGGGTATTTTTTATGGTTTTTTACAACTTTTGGTAAAATCAGAAAAAAAAAAAAAAAATCTTATGATTTACAACACGATTCAATTCAAACCTCTTTAGGATTTACAATACAATTACAATTTTCAGAACATTGGATTGAAAATGCTCATATCGATGTCAAGAACCTGCCCTTATCATTCCTCTTTCTTTTTGCAACATACCTTCTATCCCCAGTTTCTGTCAATCACTTGCAGTCCAACTCCCTACTCAGCTTCAGTGCCTCATCAACAAAATCCTTAAACCTGCCAACTATTTCCTCCCCTACTTGCAGAACTATGGCATCTTTATCTTCCAGAACTTTAAAGAAAGTTTTCCTTTAACCCTAAAACTCTCGAACAAGGCTGCACAAACTCACCTTTCATTTCCTCTTCTATTTGCCTTCCCCACTCTCAACCAGTCTTGACTTCCATCTTGGCTAAGTTTCAGTGTCAATTTTTCACAATGTCTTCAAAGTGAAATGTGTGTTGGTAGCAGGTATGACGACAGTAAATCCATTGGTCACCTTCTACTTAATTGCAAAGTTGCTCAAACTGTTTGGCAATTCCTAATCAATTTGATTTAAGAAAGCAGCTTTCATTGGGCACCTTCCAATTCAGTTTGTGACTTTATTCTTCAAATAAAAAGTAGCAAATTGGGGAAAAGAGGCGACATTTTTAGGCAGGCAGCAGTTCATGCCTCCATGCAGAATCTTTGGGAAGAGAGAAACAAAAGATTTTTTTAAAATAAATCTCCTCCGTAGAAACTTTAAAGAGAAGGATTTTAGCTCTTCTTATTATATCTCAGATGTTGACCAATAAAGATTTTCAGTTATCAACTATGTGGATCTCGAGAGAAACTTGGTTGAAAAGGAAACCCCATATATGGAAAATCTTAGGCAGGACTCATTACGATTGACAAGCTATGAAGAATATTAGATAGAATGTAAGACAATTCAATAGAGAATCCATCCCTTCCTGCATCTTTCTGCTGGCTGTTCTACTACTTCGATCACGTTCCTTGGAATAGAAACAAATGAGATGGAAGCAAGGGGTGACTTAAATGATCATAAGAAATATAATTGAAAATACTGTCAAAAGGAGAGGTAGGTGAAGTAAGCATAGGAGAAACAAAAGTAGTCACCAATGGATCAGCAAGACCTGCATCATCAGAAGACACTGCAGGCACTGATCTGTAGAAGGTAGCTTCTTCCTTCATTGGAATACGTAAACATTTTTTCGATAAACATAGCATTAGTTAGTCTCTTTATTTGGAAACTCAAAATGACCAATACACGCCCAGTTCAGTGATGATAACAATGCTTTTTACAAAGGTATATCAGCAGTCCTTAGCTGCTAAATTAAACACGCCTTGCATTGTTTACAACATAAGAACTGATTTTGTATTAAACTTAGGATTCAAAATAGGTTTCAACGTCCACCACCACCGGCTCCCCTGCCAGGATCAACTCCTACTCCAACACCAATACCAATTCCTATTCAAAACCCTCCACCTATACCATGACCCCTGACAATTCCTTGAATTCCACCAACACCTCCATCTATCCTCAACCAACACCAACACCTCCACCTAATCCCTCATTAGTACCAACACCTCCACCAACACCACTGCCAAATCCTACTCCAGCAGCACCACCACCACCATTGCCACCAAATCCTCCACCTCCAACACCACCCCCAGCTCCATCTCTTACCCTCCACCTGCACCAAACCCCACCTTCACAACCTGATCCTCCACCAGCACTACCACTCTCCCACCACCAAAGCCTCCACCTCCTCAAATGCCTCCACCAGCACCACCACCAACAACTAAACCAACTGCTCCAAAACTGCCACCATGACTGGACCTATCACCTGCTCCAAAACCCCTGTTCTTATCCTAGGACAAAATTAGGAGTTCATCCCCTCCATTTTTTGAAATTGCTTCCCTTTGTTCCTTTTTTTCATGAATTTGTTGATTTTTTATGTTTTAAATGAAGTTTATTATTTTTTATGAAAACTATAGGCAATTACTAGTGAAAGGTGGTTGTTGCTTGCTATAGAACCTAGGTTTCATGGTTATTATTCAAAAAAAAATCACCTAGGTGCCCACCAAGGTGAGTAGGCGATCTCATGGACCTTAATAACTATAACACCATTTTGGGATCTCATGAACCCATGGTGACATCAGAAAAGAAATAAAAAAAGCCATTGCCCAATGTTGGTCCCAGCTATCTGGGTTCTTGGGTGGGGTAGATTGGATATGGTCCTAACCTCACTCTTAGACTCAAACCCACATAATCTCATACTTGCCAGCCCGAAATTTACCATTACATCAGAAAACAAATTATGATGGAAAAAATTGGTCATAGAATTTTGATACGCAATTCTCCAGCTTGGGGGAAAATGTCCAAAACTAGAAAAAAAAAAAAAAAATCTGTTTGTACTGTGTAATGATTAAAGAATAAAAACATAAGTACATCTTATCACACTCAAAATTAATGAAAACTAAGAGATATAAGATAACTGACATTTAGCATAAGAGAGACCTTATAGATACAAAAAATATAGGGAATTAAAGTTCTTTCTAGAAGATTATACCTGTGAGTTTATATTGTCTTTGAGTGCCACACCTTCTACCAAGCATTTCCTTATATATGGCCATACAATTTCTGATGACAAGCAACTGAACTGCTCCCAAGATTTTATCTTGAACATATTTGAAGGATTTTGAATATTTATTGGTGAAGCATCAAACACTGGGTTCCGCAAAAACCCCCCCTGGGATGAAAACTTGAGGACTTTTGAGTCATCTACTGGATTATTCGGTGATGCTTTGGAAGATGCATCTGCACCTTTAAGAAGCTTGTGTAGAATGAAGAACAAATGGTGTGAATTTTGGAAAGCTGATAAAGCAGAACCAGCAGCTTGTACCTGAAAAGAAATATGTACATAATAAAGCAGGATTCCAAATTATACATCATGCAGGAATCTGGCCTAAAACAGTAATCTGAACTCTGAGCAATAGCTGATATTCAAGTTTGTGAGATTTCAAAGAGGCTGACCAGTTTCAATGAATGTCTTAACCCAAAATACATGGAGGAAAGAGATAATGCACTGTCACAGAGGAACTGTAGCCCACTGGCAAGGCCTCGTGTCTTAGAAACATGTTCCAGGATAAGCCTACTAACATGCCTCACATTCTACATCAAGCAAAGGATCATTAAATCACGTCATTTCAATCTCAAAACATGGTTATTGATCAGCCCAATATATGTAACGAGAAAGTTCACCCTTACATCATTAGGATCAAAAAACAACAGGACCAAACTTCCAGCCATTCTGGGTTCCCAAGTCCACTGCTTCCAAAGTTCTCCATGCTCCATTTGAATAACGAAATGTGTAGCAAACCTGACAAAAAAATCCACTACAACTTTGTGTTCTCACACTATGCTCACCCAAAATATAGAGGAGAATCAGCTACTTCACTTGGAGTAGTGCTGGGCTAAAACCATGAAATCACCACCCTCGATGCAATGCTATTGCCCCATTTTGTGTCACTTCATCCAAGTCAAGGTGGGACCACATAATTAGAGGTGTCAATTTGAGTGGATTTGGTCCAAACCGATCCAGTTCAATGTGAGTCCACTTACAAATGGACTGGACCTAATCCAGTCCAAATCCAATCCAATCCATTAAAATGTAAATGGACTGGATCGGATCCAATCCAAAGCGAATGAAATATCAAAAATTATATAAAAAAACAAAACATATAAAAAATTACAAAAATATATCCTTTTGGCATTGAAAAAGTAAAAGTACTTCCGTAGAAGTGCTTCTATAAAAATATTTTCATACAAGTGCTTTTGTAAAAGTACTTTTATAAAAGTACTTTGATATAAGTGCTTTTGTAAAATTACTTTCACATAAGTGCTTTTATAAAAGTAATTCCATATACGTGCTTTTGTAAAAGTACTTTATAGTACTTTCATAGTACTTTTATAAAAGTACTTTCGTAGAAGTGCTTTTATAAAAGTGTTTTCATAAAACTGCTTTTGCAAAAAGGCTTTGTAAAAGTACTTTTATAAAAGTACTTTCGTAGAAGTGCTTTTGTAAAAATGCTTTTGTAAAAGTATTTTCATAGAAGTGCTTTTATGAAAGTACTTTTGTAAAAGTGCTTTCATAAAAGTATAAATGTACTTTCGTAAAAGTGCTTTTATAAAAATACGTTCATAAAAGTGTTTTCATAAAAGTGCTTTTATAAAAGTACTTTCATAAAAGTGCTTTCATAAAAGATCTTTTATAAAAGTACTTCCATAAAAGTGCTTTCATAAAATTGCTTTTATAAAAGTACTTCCGTAAAAGTGCTTTCATAAAAATACTTCCATAAAGGTTCTTTTGTAAAAGTGCTTTCATAAAAGTGCTTTCATGTAAAAGTACTTTTATAAAAGTGCTTTTGAATAAGTGCTTTTGTAAAAGTGCTTTCGTAAAAGTAATTTTGTAAAAGTGCTTTCGTAAAAGTAATTTTGTAAAAGTGCTTTCGTACAAGTACTTTTCATAAAATTACTTTTATAAAAGTGCTTTTGTAAAAGTACATTCGTAAAAGTGCTTCCGTAAAAGTACTTTCTTAAAAGTGATTTTATGCCGGCTTCAATTTTGATCGGTTTCAAATTGGACAAGGGTTTGGCCTCATGATCAGATTATTGGAAATTTGGTTTAGGTCCAATTCAAACCAATAAGAATATGGACTAATTTATCTTGGATTGGCCCAATCCAATAATTATAACAGACCATCCAAATCTAATTTGATAAGGTTTGGATTGGATTGGATCCAATCCAAAACTGGTCGACTGACAGCCCTACACATAATACATTGAGGACTGTGATTCACGGCTTTAGCCCAGCACTACTCCACTTGGAGTAGCTGACTTTTTGAGCCAAAATATACTCAAATAGTAAATACCAATGTCACATCTATGATATAATTGGAAAGGTTCATGATGCTACAGACCTCTTGAAAGCTTTTATCAAAGGAATATACATTGTTGCTGCTTTAACCGCATTCCTTGATTCCTTCCCATCACCACCATCATCAGAACCAGTTGGAAGCTCCCACTTGGAAGAAATTGACATAGTTCCAGAAAGGGATGAAAACCAATCTCCAACTGAAAGTGCCATTTCTGTACGATTTTGAGGTTCTACCATTGAAAATTGAGATAGAGCCCAGATAACAGCCTTGGAAAATGATATGGGGAGAATTGAAGGATGAACCTCAACCAAAACATCAAACCATAACATGGGAATGCACATCCAATCTCTACATTCATGCGACGTAAGTCTATTCTGTATACTAAATTCACTCCAACAACTGCTACCCTTCTCCTCAATATCATGATATAATGGAAACTCATCTTCATCATCATTGGGATCAGTAGAAATGCCACTATTACAGATTGCAGGTCTGACAAACTTCAACATTGAAGTTACCAAAGCAGCAGCATCAGAGACTATAATAATTTGAATAAGATCAAGTGCAGGTTGCCGCAAAGAACTATGAAGATGTGAATCCTTTAATGAACTCAACAGAGAAGGACCCCTGTGCAATAAATCACAAACAAGCGACTCATGAATCCATTTGTTTTAACACGTACACATGTCTTGAATAAATATAATTACAATTTCTATGTTCTACTTTACATGTATTAGAAAATGAACATTATACAGGAAAATGATTGTAATTCCTACTGTATTACATTGAACAAGTAAATTCTGCAGAATCATCTTAAAAAGCATAAAGAGAAAGAAATATATCCATGTAACTTTTAAAAGACAACCACCCAGGAGGGAAAACAGCTGTTGATTGTATGAAGAATCTCATCATATGAATCCATAAGTTGAAGAATTGATGCATATGCTAGAAAAGAAAATTAGAAAAAGGAAAAACATAAAGTATACAGGCAAGTTAAACTGAAACTAAATTAGAGAATTCAAACTTTCGTACCACATGTGTGCACACTCATATGGTGGGCATGGTGGGTTCATCATATAACCTCGATGTATGATGAGAAGAGCTATCTGAAGACACAGTCTTGCAATAAATAGCAAGGAAGTTGAGCAAAAAGATTAAAAATGTAAATGTGGAAACAAAGACACATAACCAAACTAACAAATACTACAATTGTCCAACCCCATTGTTCATTCTTTACAAAGTAAAAGAAAACTATACAAATAAAACTTCAATCTTCTTCTTTTTTTATTGATAAATACAAAAGAGACAAGAGTAAGCTAACCTGGCAAGCCTTTTTTTTCATTAAATCACTGAAGTTACTGCTGTTAGTAACTTGATGGAGGAGAAAATAGAGGAAATGTCTGCGCTGCTTTTCATGTTCCCCATCTTGCAGAGATTCAAGGGACTAGGCACATGGGTCCAACAGAAAAAAAAAAAAAAAAAGAAAAGAAAAAAGTAAAGACAGAAAAAAGGCATTAGAAATGCAGTAACATAGAGAGGATGAACATAATAAGAAGAACAAAATGATGATAGAAAACCATATTTCAGAAACAAAAAGATGTGTGGTACAGGGATATGCCTGAAGAAATGGCTGGAAAAGATCAAAAATTTCTTTATGACTTTTCTCATTTCGAGTATGGAAACACTGACCCAGCAATGTGTTGCGCATCACACTTGGTGACAGCGTTGTTCTCAACCAAACTTTGCACCCTAAAAGTGCACGAGAAAAAAAAGAAAATAAAATAGATGCAACATTAAGCAAAATGCAACATCACGGACAGGCAAAAAAGCAAAAATGACCTACCAAGCATTTCAAAGAGCAGCTTCAAGCAATTAACTGCATAAGTAAATTCAAGTGAATCATCACTGACATGGTTGAGTACTATACTGAGAAAAATAGGATACCGCTCCAATACCCCTTCTTCAAACACAGGAGGCTCCAAGAACCCAAGCCTTCAAGGTACAGATACAAGGAAGTATAAGCATAAAAATCAAAAAGGGTATAATCATATAAAAGTATAGGAAATAGGGGAAAAAAGCATAAATGAGGATTCACTTCAGGCCATTGTCATCTTACAGTGCTTTTAATCCATGCCAAACAGCTGATCGCTCAAGCTGCACTCGAGGCCTTGAAGTCTCCAGAGTTGATGGCAACACCTCTCCCTCCAGAAAAACAATGCATTTCTTCAGTAAAGACTGCAATGGTTCCAAGTCTGTTGCTCTCCTATGAACAAATGTACCAAAATTATAATGTAATCAAACATGACATTTGACAAAATCTATCACTTATATAAAAAGAAGAACCCTGATATATAGGGCAAACTACATGGTGATTGAAGTAAGCAAAAAAAAATACAAAATAAGACAGTAAGAAAGTAATTAAGACTAATGTTTAGTATATACTGAAGATAAGCAAGAGAACACATTTTGGTCTCCCAGACCTAAAATCAAGTGGGCATCATTCAGTTAAACGCTAAAGATGGATACAAAAAGCTATATGATGATAAAATCTGGTGATGCTAGGCATAATGAGAATATCTGTATTATCTATTTATCTATGAATTGCTTTTAGAAAGGTGAAGTGGTGAACTAATGTATTTGGCAAAGGTCTCTTGGTGTAGCAGAGGCTCAGGGCATCAGCTGGAACTGCTGGGTATGGACAAGATTTCTTTCTAATATTAAAATAGAAAATTTATACGAAAATAGAAGGAATAGAACTATAGAAGAGAGATACAAACTTATTATAAGGCATCACTATGATAAGCCCAAATATAATGAAACCCCACTGCACAGATATACAATACCAAAACACTACTTTACACAACTCAACCCAAATAGAAAATGATCAAATCTTTAATCTTACTAACAAAAACTCCAACCCAATGCAAAGCCCAGCAACAGACGTTACAGACCACCACCCATCCCAAGTTTAAGTCGGCAATCACCCCACAAGAGCCTAGACACTCTTGACTAAATTACCAATACAACATAAACCTTCAACAAACAATTTTTTTTTTTTGATAAGCAAATAGAAAACTTGGATTTTTTTCAACAATATTTCATACACACACTGCACTAGGTTAGACAAATTTAGGAAACAAAGGATAAGAAGTTGTCATCTAGATTAGAACAAGGCAACAATTTTTTTGATCAGTAGAAATATGTTCATTTATTAGATTCAATTAAAGAGTTAATTAATACAGTTTAATGACAAGGGGATCCATCATCCTATTTCTTGTTCATGTTGGTATCTGACATATTTAGATACCTAATTTTTCAGGATGATAGTGTAAGACTTATTAGACATTATAGATTTCAGATGGAGGGTGTTCCTATGTTCCATCTCCAATATGTGGATGATTTAATCATCTTCTATGATGACAAAGAGGTATAAGAATTTGTCAAATTTTCTATTGCTTTACTTAGGACCAATTTATGATGAGAACTCTTAAAGTTAGTCTTAGAGAACATATCATACTTTTTAAAAACACAAAAAAAGTAAATAAATATTGAGGAATAATATGAGCATAACATGGAGTTTAAAAATGTTAAAACAAATTTGGGCAATTTAATTTTTACACGAAAAATATGAAATACAATTGTAGATTCATTATCCATATATTATTAAACATATATTAACATATAAAATAGGCTGAACTTTTAACTCTAGGCTTTCTAAATGAAATTGTTTAAAGCATGAACATCTATTTAGCCAATCTTTTCCGTAGGACATTGATTTGACCGATAGAGTGTGGTCTTGTGCTCCTAAAGGCTCACTACATCCTGTAGAGGATACTATAGTGCAATCCGGATCTCCTACCCACAGAACACTACAGATGTACATTGGGAACATCTCCCCACGAATGGTAATATGCAGATATGGGAGAAGTTCTCAATGTGCGGCTGTAATGATATGTGCGTAGGGAGAGATATAGACTTGGATAGTATATCAAGCCTCCTTGGTATCCTTGATAATGTTTTCTTGGACCCTAAGAAGTTGGATTCTAGAATCTAGACCCCACCCCCGCTGGCTCATTTTCTTGTGCCTCTTTTTTTCAAAGTCTTAAGTCAGCCCCCTAGTCCTGCTGCCCCTCCCTTCCCGGTTAATGAGGTTTGGTGCAGACCAATTCCCCCTAGAGTTGGTAGTTTTTGTTGGGAAGCTTTTCTGGAAAGAATCAATACTGGTGATATGCTCCAAAAGAAGAGACCCAAGACATGTTTATCCCCTCACAGGTGTGTTCTCTGTAAAGCGGATGGGGAGACTGATTTTCACCTATTGATGACTTGCCAGATCGCTAAGTCCATTTGGGTGTGGGCATTATCCCTCTTTGGGTGTAGATGTAATCATCCATCAAATTTGCAAAGCCTTTTTCCCCCTGCTTTCTTTAGGTGTCGATTGAAAAGGGGAAGGCCCATGTGGAGATGTTTGAGGGCTGCAATATGTTGGGCTCTGTGGGAAGAAAGAAATTCCAAGATCTTCTCTGAAGTAGAGAGAGGCAATGAAGTACTGAGAGAACTGTTCCATATAAGGGTAGTACAGTGGTTGAAATCGTCAAAGTTGTTTACAGACTTCACAGTGGATGACTTGTTGAGGAAGTGGGGTGAGATTGCTAATTGTACCCAGACCAAAATAGTATTGAGTGTGTCTTGGACCCCCCCCCTCCGGCCGGTTTTTTAAAACTAAACTTTGATGGGAGTAGCTGGGGGAATCCTGGACAATCAGGGATTGGAGATGTGTTTAGGGATGAGAATGGGTTTGTTTCAGCCATGTTTTCAGGCCCAATTGGAGTGGATGACTCTCTCAGGGCTGATATCTTTGCAGTTTTGGAAGGAGCCCAAAGAGCTAAGGAGATGAATATAAGAAAACTCATCATTGAAGGGGACTCGGAGGTGGTGGTAGGGCGGCTGAATAAAGAAGATAGCAGGTTATGGATGTACAATAATGAGAGGAAGAAATTCAGGTGGCTGGTTCAAGAGATGGAAGTTAAGATCAGCAGGGTGAAAAGATCAGCTAACTCTTTTGCTGATGGGTTAGCTAAGCAAGGAGTCAAGGGAGTCATTGTTTTGGGCACAAGTGTAATTTTCTCATTTTTCTATTCTTGGGAGCTCAAGCTCCAATTGGAAGATAAGAAAGTTTATCTTCCTCCATGTAATTTGAGTAGGGTTCTTTTGGGTAGGAGATCTGAACACACTAGAGTGTGATCTTGTACTCCTAATGCTGTTTTTACCAGCACTCTAGTGCTTTCCAGACCATTTGTGCTTTGTGTTTGGGACCTCTGTTGTTCTCTTTTTGGTTGCAGGTGGGATCCTCTAAAGGATGTAGTGAGCCTCTTCCATCCAAGTTTTCTAAGACTGCTAAAAAAGAGAGGGAAAACTATGTGGAAAGCAATTAAGGTAGTGGTAGTGTGGACTATAATGGAAGGAAAAGGAATGGAAGAACCTTCAATGAGAAAAGTAGATTGAAAGAGGAGAATTTTGAGGGTACAAAAATCAGAGCTACACACTGGATAAAGACACAATCTCTTCCGAGATTTCTCAGTGAATGATATTTTAAGGGCATGGACTGAAGTGGCACTTTCCTCTAAAGAAAAGGATAAGGTCTTTATGCAATGGTCACCCTAGCAGCAAATAAAGTAAAATTAAATTTTGATGGGAATTCTATGGGAAGCTCAGGAATGGCAGGCATTGGAGGACTCTTTAGATAGTGCAGATAGAGTCTCGCTTTGTTTTCAGGACCATTGTGATTGGGAGACTCACTAAAGGCTGAACTGATGCCGTTAGTGCAAGGATTAAGATTTGCTAAGCATGCAAATTTCCAATACAAGTACAGGGAGATTCAAGACTAGTTATTTCTTGGAGTTAAGAGTAAGCATCTTGTACCATGGATCTATAGGCATGAGTTCAGGGAAATAGAGAGCCTCTCACATGAGCTGAACATTACTTTCAACTAGGTAAGGACAGCAAATGAGATGGCTAATACTCTAGCAAAACAAGGGGTCTATAGGCAACAGTTGTTTTGGGCACAATTGTAATTTGAAACTTTGGTAGGGACTCGCCTTCTCCATTGGGTGCTTGGACCCTTACTGTTGTACTAATCAATTTCATCAATTAATATAATTCTTAAGTTTTCTTACTGATCAAAAAAAATTGTCCGATAACATATATGCCATATGTATTACAAGACTAAAAGCTTTGCAAGGTGATCATCATTTGGATCCTTGTTAGAGAAGCAAGACCATTGGCCTCCAGGTTGAAAAGCTACTTCATATAGATCCCTAGATTGGCAAACAAATTGATAGATGGATTAGCATGAGAAAAGTTAGGAAGGGTGTTCGTTTATTCACAAGCTCAAGATTATTATCTAGGGCAACTGGTTCTGAAATGAAGAAATCTCAGGCTTATAAATGTGAAAAACATGGGTTCAAGTCTGAAAGCAGCCACTGTGTAAAAACAAAATACCAAATTGAAGATTTGTATCTAGTCCACCCCCTCCCAAACCCCAAATAAGAGAAACATCGGGTAATGGCCCTATATCTATGTACATGTATGTACCACACCTGCTAGTTTTTTTATTGATAACAAAGACTTCAATTAATAGATATTAATAAAAAAGATACAAAGGGAGGGGTAAAAACTCTTAACCCTCCCAAGAAGGCAGTTCAGATTACAATGTTGCCCAGAAAAAATTAACCCTTCCCACCCCTTGTTTGGCCAATGAATCTTCCAAGGAATTGGTGCACCTCTTAGTCCATTGAAACTTGACTTCCATATTTTGTATGAGATGTCTAATTTTCTTTTTTTCATTCAGAAACTTCCACAGACTAGAAGTATCCTTCATTAACCAATTTATAGCCAACTTAGAATCACCTTCCACTATCAATTTTCTGATATTTAACTCTTGAGCTCTTTTTAACCCCTCCAAAACAACCAATATTTCAGCTCTAAGAGAGTTCCCCCATCCAGTAGAACCAGAATACAATGCAAAAATTCGACCTTCATCATCTCTGAAAGCTCCCCCTATACCCGACAGACCTGGATTTCCTTCGCTGCAACCATCAAAGTTTAGTTTATTGAACCCTGAAGCTGGAGGGGACCAAACTGAGTAAGATACATTCTTTCTTGGAGCT